AGGTTAGGGAGGCAGGAAGGAGAAAAGAAAATAAGTTTGCTTTAAAGAATAAACCTCAGAACAAGGAGAAGTATAATAAAATGGAGAAATGGAGCACTGTTACAATTATTCAAACTGTTGAACCCCGACGCAAAGAAAAGACCCACTAACTCCAATTTTAATTCGAATTAAAACAAGCTTGTATTTGTGTACACATAAAGAACTGATCAGTGGCTGTCTCTTCTAACATGGGCTAGATAGCAGCCCCCCAGCTTTCCAGGTACAAGGTTTTATAGCACAAAAAGTTACAAAGGGGGGTGTCCAATAGGATTTTGACAAGCATATATAAAGGCAGATATTATGTTAATGATCTACAGGGCATGATGGTTCAATTTAGGGAGTAAATTCAGATCACAACATCAGAATTTATGAGGTACCGCTGAGGTTTCAGAGAGGGTTGTTATCTGATCAGGGAAAGCCAGGCATTTGTGAGTTCAGGCACAGGCTGGAATGCCAAACCAGTTTAGAAAGCATAGTAATTTATAGTAAAACAGAAATTAAATTTTTTATGACTTTGTGAGGAGATGGCTCCCAATCTTAAGATAGAATTAGCTGGGTTCATAAAAGCCAAAAACAGTAGCTGCAACTCAGGAAGATCTCCAGGCTGGATGCAACCACCAGCAAGGAGAAGAGTGTCACATTCCAGGATACCACATTGGATGGCTCCTCACAGAAATTCCAGTCATCAGGGTAGCTCAAGTATTCATCTCTGTGAATGAGTAGGGTAAAGAGATCTGAGGAGGAAATGCAGCACCCTTCCCCCACCCCATCTTCTGAGCACACACCTAATGGTATTTTCTTTCTTTCTTTTCTTTCCTGGGGATTGAACTAGGGGCACTTGACCACAGAGCCACATCCCCAGCCCTATTTTGTATTTTATTTAGAGACTGAGTTGCTCAGTGCCTTGCTTTTTCTGTGGTTGTCTTGGAACTCTTGGTCCTCCTGCCTCAGCCTCCCAAGCCACTGGGATTACAGGCACCCCACTTTGAATGGGATTTTCAAAGGGCTAGTTAGGCCCACAGGAGGGAATTCTCCTGAAGCTCTGTGGCACCCAGGTTTCCTGGCCCACGAGGGAAGGGCTTGGGAGGATTGGGAGTGGGGGGTCACGAATACAAGTTAAGCCTTACCGTTGGAAGTAATAGTCCCACACGCCATTCATTGAGCATTTGGGTCCAATTCTGAGTCCTTCTGCTGAAACTGTGAGGCAGTAGATGGCCCCAAGTAGTCCGATGATAACGCAGAAGCGTAACGACATCAACTGGACAGGGGTGTGGAAGGTGGGCTGGATAGGGCTGTCCCCTCCCCACTCCTGGGCCAGCCAAGGCTAGCTCCACCCCCCACACTGCCCAGCTCCTCTGGAGCCAGGTGGAAGATACATTTTTGGGCTGGGGATGTAGTCCTGTAACAGAGTGCTTGAAATTCTGCAGAGGATGCTGTGGCTCCATGAGAGACTGGTTCAGGGACAGAATCCTCAATCTTTTTCTCCTTTTTGGAGGGGATGCAGGTGTTACTGGGGATTGAACCTGTGAGTGCTCTACCAATGAGATACATCCCCAGCACTTTATATTTTTTATTTAGGAGATGGGGTCTCACTAAATTTCTAAGGCTGGCCTCAAACTTGAGTTCCTTCTGCCTCAACCCCTGAGTAGCTTGGATTACAAGTGTGCACCACCATGCCTGGCCAAATCTCTTCTTAATTGGGATCTCACCGGGCAGTCATAGTCATTAGCTTCCCGAACCACTGAAATTCCCAGACACAGCACCTGTGGGACAAGAGTCAGTGTGATAGTGTGAACCCTCCACCCCAACCCAGATCCTCAAGTCTCCATCTCTTCCAGAATCTGCCTATTTTGTCCTCAGGATTTTGAGGAAAACCTTATCTCTACCTGTCCTGGAGCATGGTTGAGCTCAACAATACTTTATTTGCCTGCCTATCTAAACTCTGTCCATATTGTAGATTTCTTAGAGTTTGGGTTTAGTATTAAACATTCCCTGTGAATCTTAGCACCTAGTAGGTGCCTATCTGAATGGGAATCTGGAGGCTCTAGGTGGAAGGCCAGGGCCACACTAATTCACACTCAATGAACTGGTTGCTTTCTCTGTGTCTCAGTTGTGTCCAATGTAAAATGGGTTTGTAAAACCTAGCTCTCAGTGTTGTGATTAGGAATGAAAGAGACAACTGGTGGGCCTGATGTCAAGGCTGATTTACAGTAAGTTCTCCTTAGCTATAAATGTCTTCAGCAGTGGGAAATGGTAGTGGTGTTGAAGGTCTGGTGAGCTAGGATATGGTAGAGTGTGTTCACAAATGCTGTGATGTGGGTTGTAGGATTTCCTAAGATCCAGCCCCTGATCGTTTTACTTCCTGTGACTTTTCTCACAAAGTCCATCCTCTCCCAGGTAATTCCCTCTGGCCAATAGTCACGTCAACATGCCTGGAGATCCAAACCCAACTGCCTGAAGGATGTGTTCACTCAAATGTCTTGATTTTCGCTCAGATTCAGTTTCAGAGGTGACCTCAAAGTATTTCCCAAATAAATCTCCCTTTGATTTCCTCATTCTTGTATTTGAAAAATATCACCCCATCAGGTCACTTAGGCTTAACCACTCTAATCCTTTTGCATCCAGTCAGACTTCAAATCTTCTTGACTTTTTCTTCAATAGTTCCTTAATCAATCAGTCCTTTCTCCTCTTCCCCCATTCAATTCCTAATTAAGTTCCAGGAGGAAGATGTTCTTAGCCTTCCTTCAAAGTCTCATAGCTCTTGCCCTATGCCACACCACAGTTCATCACACATGCCACCACCAGATTAAACTTGGTCTTGCCTAGGTGTGATGGTGTACACCTTAAACCCAGAGACTCAGGAGGCTAAGGTAGAAGGTACAAGTTTAAGGCCAGCCTTGGCAACATAGGGAGACCCTATGTCAAAATTTAAAAATAAAGGGCTGGGGTTGTAGTTTAGTGTCAAATCTCTCCTGGTTTCAATTGCCGGGAGGGTAATTTTGGCTTTGGTACTGGAAATTGAACCTAAGAACACTTAAACATTGAGCTACATTCCAAGCCCATTTTTTTTTAAATTTTTCATTTAGAAACAGGGTTTCCCTGAGTTGCTTAGGGCCTCACTACATCGCTGAGGCTGGCTTTGAAGTCATAATCCTCCTGCCTCAGCCTCCAGGACTGTTGGGATTACAAATTTTGCCACCAAGTCTGGTGGGAGGGGGCTTCTAAATCCTAGGAAGAATTTTGAGGCTCCTCACTCTGCCTCCAGCCTTGTCATTGTGATCATAGCACAGGCCAGGTTCATCTCCCATCCCTGGAATTCCACAGCTGTTTTGATCCTTCCTTCCCTGTTGGTCTTGTCTGGCATACACCATATAAGGAAGCATTTTGTTCTTTTCCAGGGAAGGGGCTGAGAGTTTTAGTTCTCAGCCTCCCTTTAAAGTATCATGGCTCTCGCCCTATGCCATGCCATAGTTCACTCACATGCCACCACCAGATTAAACTTGGTCTTGCCTAGGTGTGATGGTGCACACCTTAAACCCAGTGACTCAGGAGGGCCACCGCAGAGAAACACCTCATGAGTGGAACCAAATTTCCACCAGCACTCTCATGCCCCTCTTCCTGTTTCAGGGTAATTCAGGGCCATTCTCCACCCATTGCTTACCCTCACTGGTGAGGTCACTTACTGGGAGGCTCCAGGATCCACAGATATCTAGAATTACCTTTGGCTTTACGTATGTGTGTGTGTGTGTGTGTGTGTGTTTTGAGTTGCTAGCAATCTAATCTAGGGCCTTGCCATACTATGCAATTGCTGTATCACTGAGTTATACCCCCAACACATTTTGTCAATTTTAAATGACCCACCTCCTTGAGAATTTTACATTTGGTCAAGGTTTTTGATTCTGTTTGTGGTCTAAGCTTCCTTGTCTTGCTCCTAGCCCTCTAATTATATTTACAAAAAGAGAAGGGTTATCATAAATTCAAGAGACAACACTGTTTATAGCTTGAATCTGCTGACTTCTGTCTATCACCATGGTCACTGGCTTCTTTCAAGATACTCTCTTTCCTCCGTGACATTAGTCTCCTCTTTCTGCATCTATGGCTGGCCTCGTACTATCCATTCTCCACATAATAGCCAGGGGGATCTACTTGTCCAGTGGGTAGTGACTAGAACTCTCACACTGTGCTGATCAGAATCAAATTGATACAGAAACTATAGAAAACTATTTGTCAGTATTAGCACTGAATATTTGCCAACCATAAGAATCAGCAGTGTTGGGCTGGGGTTGTCGCTCTGTGGTATAGTGCTAGCTTCACATGTGTGAGGCATGGGTTTGATTCTCAGCACCACATATAAATAAATGAATAGAATAAATGTCCATCAATCTCTAAAAAAAAAGAGTCAGTGTTGTAGTCCTGTATAACTGTATACAGGATGGAGATAAATACATATATTCACCTAAGACAGCTACAGAAATATAATAGCAATATTATTTGCAATAAACCCGAACTGCAAACTATCCAAATGTCCATCAATAGTAGAATGTTTAAATTACAGTTACAAAAAAGAATGCATAAGCAATTAAAAAACTACAGCTACATAAAATATATGGATGGGCCTTATAAATATAATATTATGCTAAGAAGCCAGACATGAAAGAACACATAGTGTATGGTTTCATTTTAAATAGAGTATTGAAGAGACCAAACCAGTTTCTGGAGGTTGGAAGACAGAATTAGCCTTGTTGTTGAGGAGTAGTACCTGGTGAGAGGCATGTGTGGGATTCTGGTAATAGTGATCTGTGTTTTTTGTTAGTTTGTTTTATGAGATGGGGTTTTGCTATTTTAATCATGTTGACCTGAAACTCCTAGCCTTAGCCTCAAGATCCTCCTGCCTTAACCTCCTGAGTCATTCCAATGACAGGTATGTACTTTAACTGTTTTTTGATCTGGGTAGTTGTGGTGAGCCGCTTCTGCCGTTTCTGCAGATTATGGTCGCCATTACAAGATGACGCTGGCTCCGCTGTGGTCTGTGACAAACAACTCCTTATCTGGGAGAGTTGGCACATGATTTTTCACCACCCTGTACATCACCCTGTGAGAAAGCTCCACGCGGCAGCTTTGCATTGGGGCTTGGGATGCTTTATTAAGGCTGGGAGGGGCATCCGAGAGAGAGAAGAAGAAATATCCAGGGCCTGAATAAACTGTTGAAAGAAGATTCCCGAGTTGCGTCTTCCTTGCGGGCAAGGGGTAGCGACAAGTGGTGCCGAAACCCGGGAACCAGAACTTTCAGCAGTCAGGGGTGGTGCACCGGTTAGTCCCAGGTAAGTGGGATCCGCGACCAAAGCGGGGTTAGTCCCAATAAGTGGGATCCGCGACCAAAGCGGGGCAGCTCCTCTGTAAAGAAAGAGAGAGCCTTACATTTTATTGCAGCTGCACTGTGTACTTTCGCTTTTGTTTTCTGTGTTTCTTTTGTTGTGTCATTTTGCTTTTGTTTTTTGTGCTTCTTTTGTTGTTGTGATGACAGGGACGCTCCCCTGTAAAAGGAAGAGAGCGGGGAATTCATAGAACGGAACGCTCCCCTGTAAAAGGAAGAGAGCGGGGACTTTTGTACTTTCACTTTCTTTATAGCTCTAAAAACATTATGGACGTTGCTTCTTCAAGCCCAATTTTGTTGGCCCTAGATGGGTTGTTACATTCAAAAGGACTTAAGATAAAGCAGAGTACTTTGCAGATGTTTTTAAGAGAAGCTGATATAGCGGCTCCTTGGTTTGCTTTTTCAGGGAGTCTTACGGTTCCCAGCTGGGACAAATTAGGGAAAGATCTAGATTTCGCTCGTGAGCAAGGCACCTTAGAGGGTGGCGTTATACCACTTTGGAAGTTAGTTAGAGGATGTATAACAGATGGTAAATGCCAGGAAGCTGTAAGTGAGGGTCAAGCTATTCTTGAGCAGCTGCATGAGGAAAAATCTGAAGGATCATGTAGTGAAGTGGCAGAGAGTATTAAAAGTAACAGTAGTGAGAAGGCAAAAGAGCCTGAAGATAAAAATAGGAGAAGGCTCTACCCAGACTTGACCGAATTAAAAACGCCTGAGAACACAAGCGACTCAGAGAGTTCTGAGGACCTTGATATATTGTTACAACAACTACATAAGATAAAAATGAAAAAGAAGAAAAAGGAGACACAGGGCACGCAGGCCTACTGTAAGAAGGGGAAGGGAGTTAACATTGGTCAACAAAACTCTGAGGAGGAGGAGGTAGAATATCTAGAAGAAGATATGGTGCCGATTGCCCCACCTCCGTATGTGGGGGGAGCCAAGGTTCCGGGAGATCTTTTCATGCACAAGTTTGGAGGACAGTTAATACAGATATGGGACTTGCATACCCTGTATTTCAGGACAATAACAGGGGAAGATATCATGAGCCTTTAGACTTTAAGATAATTAAAACCTTGGCAGAATCTGTCCGCACTTATGGCATAGATGCCGCTTTCACTCTCACTCAGGTGGAGGGACTTACTAGATTTTGCATGACTCCCTCAGATTGGGCTAGTCTAGTCCGTGCTTGTGTTTCCCCAGGGAAATATTAGGAGTCCAAAGTTGGCTGTTTAATGTTTCTGGCAGTACCCAAGACTCGGAGCGAGGTAGGAGGCTTAAAATTTCTGCAAATAATTCACAATTGTTTAATGCTACATTACCCTCCGCAGCAGTCTGTCTCCAATCTCCGTTCCTGTTTCTTTTGGCTAATGTTACATTACAGGGGATGCTTAATTGTTCTAATATTACCTGTTATTTGTCTGAGTGTTGGAATGGCTCCTGGACTACGGCAGTGGTTATGAAAATTCCAACCTTTGTCCCGATCCCGGTTACTGCAGATCCAGAGTCATTTCCTATTGTTGAACTACTTAGAGCCTGTAGAGATTTTGGAATTACGGCAGCTATAGTGACAGCTGTGGCGGTATCTGCTGCTGCAGCAGTTATAGCTGGAGTAGCCCTGGCCAGCCAGGTACAAACTGCTGCCACTATCAATCAGGTTATTCAACAAACATCCACCATACTTGAATCTCAAAGTAGAATTAATCAACACATTTTATCTGGGATTCTGGCTGCTAATCAAGGGATAGATCACTTCAAGCTCAAGTTGAGGAATTGTCTGACCTAGTACATTTGGGTTTTATTGATCAACGTGCACATTTATGTATAACCTCTGTCAGATTTAATGATTCCAGAAATGCCTCCCGCATCATCGGAGAGTATCTATCCGGAACCTGGTCCATGGCAGCGGAAGACATGATCCAGTCTCAACTAACCCAGATAGCTGTCTTGAACAGTACTCGTGTTGATCCTGTGACTTTGGGTCAATTCACCGATTGGATATCTTCTGCTTTTTCCTTCTTCAAAGAGTGGGTGGGAGTAGGCATTTTTGGTGCAATGTGTTGCTTCGGTGTTGTACTTTGTGGCTTCTCTGTCGCCTTAAAACTCGCCATGCACAAGAAAAGGCTATGATCATACAAGCTCTTGCAGCTTTAGAAAATGGCAACTCACCTCAAGTCTGGCTTGCGCATCTTAAACAGTAAACCTTTGTCATGGTCGTTACACCCCAAGTTATTATAACATTGCACTGGGATCGACATGACTTTCCTTGTTATTCTCTTAGTGTTGGAAAGCCCTTGCACTCTGCCGGTCTTACTGCCATTGCACGCAGATGGGTTTCCACACTAGTGCTTTTCTATCGTCTTAAAGTCCGTGCCTTTCTTTCAGGGTGCTGTCAACTTGTTTGTCATTATAAACAGCCACAGTTCAGCCTCAGCTATCCCCCTTCGTCCACCATCATCACGATACAGGATGCGAGGCAAGGCACTGCACTTGAGTGATCCTTGACGTGGACCTCAAGGAGAGCATGTCCTATTGCATGCGGGTTAGACGCGTTCACGCCCCGCCCCACGAAAAAAGGCGTCGGCTGATATGGCTTTAGATCTGGGGAAGGCGCCTCCTTGGGACTGAGTCATACTATGCAGCCACTTCTGCACAGTGGGATAGGACCTCTACTCTCGCCTGTATTGTTTTAAGAAAACAGAAAAGGGGGAACTGTGGTGAGCCGCTTCTGCCGTTTCTGCAGATTATGGTCGCCATTACAAGATGACGCTGGCTCCGCTGTGGTCTGTGACAAACAACTCCTTATCTGGGAGAGTTGGCACATGATTTTTCACCACCCTGTACATCACCCTGTGAGAAAGCTCCACGCGGCAGCTTTGCATTGGGGCTTGGGATGCTTTATTAAGGCTGGGAGGGGCATCCGAGAGAGAGAAGAAGAAATATCCAGGGCCTGAATAAACTGTTGAAAGAAGATTCTCGAGTTGCATCTTCCTTGCGGGCAAGGGGTCGCGACAGGTAGTGGATATGTGGGTATGTCCACTTTGTAAAAATTCAATGAGCTGGGGCTAGGGATACAGCTCAATAATAGGGCATGTGTTGAGCTTCCACAGGGCCCTGAGTTCATACACAGTGAGCATGCATGCACACGCATATATACAACCCAATCCCTAAAATCCCCAAACTTCATGTGCTAGGAGCTCTGTATGATGAATCTATTTGTTTATTTATTTACTTATTTATTCATTGTGGTACTAGGGATTGAACAACCCATGCACTCTGCCCCTGAGCTGTACTGCAGTGTACTCACACACACACACGCACACACACATGCACACACACATATATATACACACACACACATTTGTATGTATTCTAATTTTACTAGGTTGGCCTCAATAAAATTTATAATTATCTCTCCCCCCACTGTTTTTCTTCTGGAACTGACAATTGTACCTTAAGGCACTCTCCACTGAGGCATATTCCAGTCCTTTCAATTTTTTCTTGCCCATTCTGGTCTCAAAATTGTGATCCTCCTGCCTCAAACTCCTGAGTTGCTAGGATTATAGGCATGTGCCTCTGCACCTTGCATTATCTTCCTTTTGAAGTAACTGGGATTGAAGACATGTGTTACTATGCATAGTGCTCTTTCTGTCTCTCAGGCATGTGCTAATATGCATAGCTTGTGCTCTCTCTCTGTCTCTGACTCTGTCTCTCTCTCTCTCCCCCACTATGCAGTAGTAGTAGGGATCAAACCCGGGTGTCACACATGCTAGGTAAGTATCTGACCTATACCTTCAGTCCTAATTATTTTATTATTGATGGTACCTACTCCTGTCTGAAATCATCTTATGGATTACTTCATTCATTCGGTGACTATTAACCAGGTTCCTGTTAGGTGAAGGCACTGGTCTAGGTATCAGGCACACAGCAACCAACATAACAGGCAGTACTTGCTCTCATGGGGTTTCTAGTTTTGATTCCTCATACCGTTGGCCCCCTAAAAGGTACACAGTTTTCCAGGAGAGCAGGAACCTTGTCTGTGTCTCCGTGGCATAATATGGTACTTCCTGAGAGTGACTCAAGTTATAAGAGGGGGAGGAAGATATCTGTGAGTTAGAATAATGGAAGCATAGTGTTGAAGATGGCCTCTAAAGAAGGCTAGTTGGATTGGCTGGAGGAGTGTGAGGTAGTTTAGGTTGGAGAACGAACATGATGTGACAATGGGCAAGTGTGTAGTCCTGGAGGAGTGTGACATCTCAGAGATAATAGAAGTCAGAGAGATGGAGTAAAGTCCAACAGCCATGATGCAAGAGATGGGGAGTAGAAGAGACCTCAGAAGGTAAGAGGGAGTTCCTAGGTAAAGGAGAGGTATCCCACTTAGCTAATGGGAGGCAGGTGACCAGAAAATGGGACAAAGTGAGACCCCTTCTAGAGAATGTTATCAGTCAGCTGTCCAAAAAGAGGGGATCTGTGATGAGTAGATGACTCAACTTTACCCCACAAAAATATTACACTAGGTTGACCATCCAAAATTTCTCCTAAATGGGGAAAGATTTTGAGTAGGAGACCCAAGAAATCTGTGACCCCTCTTCTTCCACTTCTCCTAGTAGATCCTCATCTCCAGGAAGCCTTGGGGGCAACTTCTCTGCCTGACTGACCTGCTTCTGAGTTTGTCCTTAGCACCCAGCACAGAGTGGGCATCCAGAATGTGGGCTGAGAGTCAGAGGATGAGGAGGAGGGAGGGGCAACACTGAGCTGAGAGGTGGAGTGACTGATGGGTGACATAACTGCCTGGTTCCAGACGTTTTTTCTGCATCCCTCAATGCCTCTTATCCTGCCCTGATAACCTTCCTTCTGCTTGGACCTTTGTAATGAGGGGTCCTCAACATCTGCTCAGCTGCAAGGGCAAGGGAGGGTCAGGTAGGACATGTTTGACACAGAAGTGAAGCTCTTTAGAGACTTGAGCCTCCCGTCCCTGTATTCCCCTTCCCTTAGACATTCATTTCAGGTTGTTGGGGGGCTCCTCCAGGGCTATCTACAGAGTGTTGAGTGTATGGGGGAGGATTGGCACATTCCTTGTCCCCACCAAGCACTGGCCACCCCTCTGGAGCTCCGTACTTTTCCCTCTCCCTTCCCTTCTCATTCAGAACCCGTTATGGTTGTGCCCACACCCCTGGTCACTGGCCTATGCTCTAGACTCCTCACCATCAATCCCCCGCCGATGATGCCGGGCATGAGCAAGACATGCGTGCTGAGTTGGTCAGTGCTCCAGGTCTTCCCATCAGGTACCAGTAGGAGGGAATTGGCCACAATGCAGACCAGGGAAAGAGTAATTAGGAAGAGTCCCACACAGCAGGGAAACTTCTGTAGTGTCATGGTGAGACAGTGAATGAAAGTGAGCCCGAGGTTTCTGGATCCAGAGAAAAACAGGCTGGAGCATGAGTAAAGTTCAGGAAAAAGATGTGGTGGAAACTGGCAGCCTCTGAAGGATAAGGGAGAGAAGCCTTTATCACCAGCTGCAGCTTGTGAGGAGTAGGGGTGGATGTGCTGATGGAGCAGTTGCTGGAGTTAGTCACACACTGGAAGTTGCCTGGTGTCCATGTCTTCTTTTTCTGCACCCATGTGCTCACAGTCTTTGATTCTTTACCTGTTTGAACATATCTCCAAGCCATCTCATGTCTCTAAGTCACAATTGCCTCATCTTTATAAAGGATAGGGTGGTACTACTTGCCTCCTGAGCTGGTTGTAAAGATTCCTTAGGACAAGGGGAATATTTGGTAAACTAGGCAGTTCAAAAATTATGTACAGTGACCTCATCATTTTTCTTTGTCACATTGAGAGATTTCCTCCCAGAATGAAATAAAAAAGATAATAGTAGGGTTCAGTTGTCAGTTTATTTTGTGTGTGTGTCTCTCTGTGTGTGTGTGTATGTGTGTGTATTTTAACTGGGTATTAAATCCAGGGGCACTTAACCAATGAACACTTCCAGCCCTTTTTGGTACTTTATTTAAGACTGGGTCTTACTAAATTAATTAGGGCATCACTAAGTTGCTGAAGCTGTCTTTAAACTCATGAACCTCCTGCCTCATTCTCCCAAGGTCTGGGATTACAGGCATGTGCCACCATGCCTGACTTCATTTTATATTCTTAATATTTGTTTATTGATCCTCTCTCCTTTAGAGATTACTACCTGTTTTTCAGAGTAGACTTGAGACTGAGGCCTGATTTATTAGAACATAGTGTCATCTGGCCTCAAACTTTGACTCAGTGATAACTGTACAATGCATGAAGAATCAATTTTTAAGTTTATTTATGTGTGTTCTTGTTTTTCTTCACCATTTGGAGGTCAAAGAAATTCTGTTTTTTTTTGTACCAGGGATTGAACTCAGGGGCACTCAACTGCTGAGGCACATCTCAAGCCACCCCATCCCCCATTTTCTTTAAAATAATTTTTAGTCATAAATGGATCTTTTAATTTAATCAATTAATTTATTTAGATGAGGTGCTGAGGATAAACCCAGGGCCTCACACATGCCCTGCAAGTGCTCTACCACTGAGCCACAACTCCAGCCCCTCCCCAGCCCTATTTTGTATTTTATTTAGAGACAGGGTCTCACTGAATTCCTTAGCCCCTGCTAAATTGCTGACACTTGCTTTGAACTCATGAATCTGTCTTCACATCTGGAGCTACTGGGAATACAGTCAAAATTCTGTTTTTGTTGAGTGATGAGGTTGCTGGTGGCCTGTTTCACCTTGAGGCAGGGCCTGCCTGTTTGAGCAGGAATCAATCCAGAGGAAAGAACCATTGGGAGAGAGAGTGAGGTGTTATGACATCATTTGTATCTGCAGATCCAGTCATACCTGAAGCCTGATCACGTCTTGGAACCTTTCCTTCCTTCCTTCCTTCCTTCCTTCCTTCCTTCCTTCCTTCCTTCCTTCCTTCCTTCCTTCTTTCCTTCCTTCCTTCCTTCCTTCCTTCCTTCCTTCCTTCCTTCCTTTCTCCCTCCCTTTTCTTTTTTGTACCAGGGATTGAATCCAGGGGAGCTTAACCACAGCCATGTCCCTAGGCCTTTTTGTGTTTTTATTTAGAGACATGGACTCACTGAGTTGCTTAGGTCTAAGTTACTGATGTTGTCTCTGAACTCAAGGTCCTCTTTCTTCAGTATCCTGAGCCACTGGGATTACAGGTGTGGGCAACAAGCCTGGCCGTCCTCGGTACCTTTTCTTTTCCCCTTTAAATGTTTTATTTGTTCATTTTAGTTACACATGACAGTAGAATATATTTAGACATATCATATGTATGTGGAGTTTGACCTCCATTTTAGTGGTTGTCCATGACGTGGAGTTACACTGGTCATGTATTCTATATATGAACCATGGAACCTTTGGTGGTGTGAATTGGTTTGAGTTGTGTTTCTGGCAGCAAGAATGTAAAGAGTAGATTTTGATACAGAGAGTAATGCTTTAAACCCTGGCTTCATGAGGGCCTGTGGTAGAGATATGGGGATTCACAGTTTAGGACCAAGACCCAGCTTAGTCTCAGGCACAAATAGGAGTGTGCAGCCCCCTGCAGAATTAGCCCCCATACTTGTAGGTTATGGTAGTGCCCATGGAAGAGACGAGGGTAGCAGTAAGTTCCTCGGGACTTCACAGGGCATGCAAAGAAAAGTGGTATCGCATGGAAAGTGGGGGCCACGTGGGGACCTCTGATATGGCTTTTCCCCAAGTCCCACTCAAAACACTAGAGAGACTTGGATAATGGAGCAAACTTACCACTAAAACTGAGTACCAGGATCTGAGAGGAGTCCTTGCTGTTTATAAGAAGGAGAAGCTGGATGGAAAAAAAAGCTATGAAGAATTGACCTCTAGAAAGAGAGGACACCTGAAAAAAGAAAATGCTTTGAACTTTCCCCAACAGGTTTCCTCTGACGCATAGGCAATAACTGTGGTAAATGATATTTGGTTTTGCTTCT